TTTTTTTTTTTAAAGGGACTATCGTAGCCTCACTGGAATATAGAAAAACAATTGGAGCACTGGGGAGGGAGGAGCTGAGCTTCCAGCTTGGGGTGATGGGGGAATCTGGCTGCACCACAGTGTATGTGTTTTCTCTTTCTGTTGTTAGAGGGGGAAGCACAGACCAGTTGGAGCAAGGAAGGCAGGACATGGGGTCTCTAGGGGAGAAAGTGTCTTCTTCATTTAGCTCTTGAGCTTGACAGAACAGCCAAGACCCTGAACTGTGTTCTCGTTCCTGGAAGAAGTATGCTTTGGCTTTGTCATTCACAGGTAGGGTTCGGGGCCAGGACTCCACTGGCTGCTGTGCTAGGCATGGCATGCTGTGGGCCCTGTGCCCACTTTCCCTGAAACCCTGAATCTGAATCTTCACCCATAGGCTATGAGTGTTGTCCTGTAACCTCCACTGGGTACTCAGGGATGAATGCACCTCAGGCAGGAAGAAGACAGGGTGCTGTGTATCAGGAAGGCCGGTATCTCCTGGGGTGCCAGACTCTACAAGTTTCTCCTGTAAAGCCTGGCGTGGGAGAGCCCTTTGGGAGAGGTCCTGCTGGTCCCAGGCTGCCTGAACGGTGGAAGCATTACCCAAGAGCCAGGCTCTCAGGGAGGAATGTGAGCTGCCAAAGACGGTGCCTTCCTGCCCACGGCTGCGATGCTAAGCAGTGGTTAAGAGGGGGCATCTTTTCTCTGAAGGGCATTCTCCCCTGTCCAGTTTGCACAGACTAAGGAGTAAGATAGGGAAGATTCCACTGGCGGCACTTCCTAGTGAGACCGCTAGGGTGTGCTGTCCTGCTGGAGTGTGGGTTTCACCCCCCTCCTCTGGGTATCTGTCTCAAGATTCCAAGATAAAGGACTTCGCTTTTCACATACCCCCAGCCCGGGACTAAACCCTGCACACTGCTTCGCTACTTTCCGCCACAGTTTCCCCTTCCTTTGTCCCACCTTCCTCATCTCTCCTTCATCCCTTTCCTTTATGTTCCATTAGGACATATGCCCACCCCTTGGTGCCAGGAAATTTGGTCTTAAAAGGGCAGGCGGCATGATGTGTTTTTATGTGCCAGGCAGTGGCCATCCTAGCAATAGCATCGCCGCCAAGAAGACTTGTAGTCGCCCCTCATCCCTGCAAAGGGGTGAGAAAGGGGAGGAGCAGGCTGGGAAGGAGGTAGCCTAGGCATCAGGCTGAAGGATGGCAGAGGCTTTCCGTTTAATCTAATCACACCCTCCCCCAGGTAATTCATTAGGGAGCCATCGGAAGCCTTTTCCTGTCTGAGGGGAAGGCCGGTTGGAACTGGTGGGAGGTAGGGGAGATAGCACAGAGCATGGGCTCTGCTGGCGAGCCCACCTGCCTCCTTCACCGGTTTGGCACCCCGACATGTGACTTAGTGCCTCTTGGGGCTGCAGGCAAGCTTGGATGAGATCAAGCATTGGAGTGCTTAGCAGTATGTCTGGCACCTGATAAGTGTTCCATAGATGACAGCTATCATTAACATGAGTGTTGAGGGGGCTGCTGGAAGAAAAGGACTCTCTCCTCTGGAGGGATTTTAGGTATTTGTGAGGATGGTTTAGGAGAAGCTTGATCTCTGGGAAGGGCGAGCTCACCAGAATGCAAAGATGTAGGGTAGAGATAAGCCACCCTCCCCCACACCCTGGGGATTTTTAGATCTTCCTTCTTAGGTTAACCAAAGAGGGTTAGAAAGGGTGTGGGAAAGGACCAGCAGATTTCAGGATGGATAGGATGTATTTCTGTTGGTAGAAGAGAACCAGAATACCAGACTGAAGTAGATGGATATGAAGCTAGAATATGTGATTTCCCAAAACAATGCTCAACTTCTTTGCTCTTGGCCTGTCTATGCAAGATAGCTCAATGAAATCTCAGTTCCCCATATTTTTAGGAAATTGGACTAAACTTGTATGTGGGGAAGTTGTTTATAGGAATTATTATTATTTTTTTAAGGATGAGAGGGCACATGAATGGGGAGGGGATGCAGCCAGAGGTTTGAGTCTCATTTTCTTTTTAATTTTTTTAAAGTTTACTTATTTGCAGAGAGAGAGAGAGAGAGAATGAGCAAGCAGGGGAGCGGCAGAAAGAGAGAATCCAAAGCAGGCTCTGCACTGCTGTCAGCATAGAGGAGCCAGATGCAGGGCTCGAACCCATGAACATTAGATCATGACCTGAGCTGAAATCAAGAGTCAGACGCTTAACCGAATGCACCCCAGAGCCTCATTTCTTGACCTTGTTGCCTTGGAAGTAGATTGAGGCTCAGCTTTGAGGTCGTGGCTCAAATTTGGGGGCAGCCATCCTTTGCTCTGAGGGGAAGTGTGCAGAGTTCTTCTCTTACGAGGCCCATCACGAGGCATGGGGACTGCACTTACACTTCCTCTAATGTCAGCACGGGCAACAAGCCTTTGTGGCACCCTGTGCAATCTCCCCGCCTTGCCTTTCTTGTTTGGGGCGAGGGGGGAGTGGGGCTAGGGTGGGGCCTGGAGGACAGAGGCTTGTGCATTCCTTCTCAGGCCACCGCCCCGTCCTCAGCTAATTTCCTCAGGGCCAACTTCCCTGGGGCTAAAGAAACTGCACCCAGTGGACTGTCATTTCTTCTGGGCCCTCAGTCCTGGAGCAGCGCTGACAAAGGAGATTCCTGAGAGAGCGCCTTCTTATCACAGAAAGTGCTGAGCCAAGAGCTCCAGGCTGCCCCTTTTGCAGATGTGAAAGGCCAGTGAACCTTAGACCCAGACAGTTGCTTAACACTCCTCTCCCCCTCCCTCATTCCCTCCTCCCGTCTTGACCTCTCCATTTGATTTAAATCCATAAGCATTTGCCTGGCCTTTCCTCTGACTGCCGGCTGAAAAGGAGGAGTGGTCAGGCCATAGTGCCTGGAGGCTGTGGCTCCCCAGGACTGCCATAGCGGGAATCTGCTGGAACCCAGGTTCAGGGAGTGAGTGTGCTTCCCGCCCTCGCCTCAGCAACCCCCTCCCCTCGCCCACCCCCTGTGCTGCTTTGCGCTGTCCAATCACTTCCTCTCCCCAGTGCCCCAGGCCCTAGCACCTCTCCACTTGGTCCGCCAGCCTCTCCTCTCTTCCTCTCCGCTGTCTCCCACTCTGCAGTGCTCTCGGGCACCTGCTGCCGCTTTAGCTACTTGCCTCAGCTTTGGGTCTTTGGGTCTCAGCTCTCCAGCTGCAATTCCTGGGCGGGGGAGCGATCATCAGCTGCCTCCCATCATCCCTAGGTTGGATCACCCTTTTCCCATTCATACCTTTTTGGGTGATGCACCTATGCTGACGTGGGGGATTGGACAGCAGGAGGCTGGAACACTAGGGGCTTCGAGAGAGAGATGTCCGGGAAGGAAAAGAGGACAATAATCTGTCTTCTTTCAGAGAGGAGTGGGGCTGCTTGGGCTCTGCTAGGACTGCAGAGTTCACCTCAGGGTGGTTAAGAGATGCTCCCTGAGCAAGGGGATGGTTGTAGGTTTCCGGCAAGAGGTCCATGAAGCCTTTAGGTTTGCCAGAGTCAGTGTCCTTGGGGAGGAGAGAAGTTTGTGAGGGGAACCCACAGAGAGGCTGCTTGCAAGGTTGGTTCCTAATGTTGCAGCTCAGCACAGGTAACAGGTGAGACTGGAATTGGAAGGGAGACAGGCTTTTTTGGGGCAAGGCTGAAAAAAACTCAGGCTCAAATCAGGATGGTTATACCTCGGGACTGCCAAATTGCCTTGTATCCCAGCATAGTCCGATAGAACCAGGATTTAATTTTCTATTTTGGAAATCTGGGGGGCAGCACCCTCCTAATGAGGAGAAATGCTGCTTTCTCTCTAGAGAATGAGTGCCTTCTCTTAAAAATTCCACTTGGGGTTGTTTCAAGGAGCCAGCTGGAGAAGAAGAGGTTAATGGGAGATGGGAGGCCAGAGTGAGCTCTCTGAGATGGTGGGCCGGATGTTGTCCCTGTTGACCACCATAGGCAAGAGTTTTAGGTAATTGCCAGCCACCTGAGTTATATCTTCATCTTTCTTCCTTAGAGGGCGATGCCAAGAAGCTGGTGACGGCTTTCTTCTCCTTCCACCATGGCTGACGGCATTAAATATGAAGTGGCCTCCCAGCAAGAGGGGGATGCCTCCCCTTTGGGCGATGAAGCCAGCTCAGGGTCTGAGCAGGTAAAGCTGAAGAAGGAGATCTCGCTGCTTAATGGCGTGTGCCTGATTGTGGGGAACATGATCGGCTCGGGCATCTTTGTCTCCCCCAAGGGCGTGCTCATGTACAGTGCCTCTTTTGGCCTCTCCCTGGTCATCTGGGCTGTTGGGGGCCTCTTCTCCGTCTTTGGGGCCCTTTGTTATGCGGAATTGGGCACCACCATTAAGAAATCTGGAGCCAGCTATGCCTACATCCTTGAGGCCTTCGGGGGATTCCTTGCCTTCATCCGACTGTGGACCTCGCTCCTCATCATCGAGCCCACCAGCCAGGCCATTATTGCCATCACCTTTGCCAACTACATGGTGCAGCCCATCTTCCCGAGCTGCTTTGCCCCCTATGCGGCTGGGCGCCTGCTGGCTGCTGCCTGTATCTGTAAGTGGGGCCAGGGCAGGAGGTGTGGGCTGGAGTGCCAGGGCAGAGGCTGGGATGTGAGTCCAGTAAGCCAGTGAGAAAGGAGCTGGAAGCGAATGCCTCCGACAAACACTCTTGTTTTCATTTTATTATTAAAAAAAAAAAAAAAAAAAAAA